TGTGGTGACCCATCAACCATAAAATTATTTTCATTGCTACTTCATAACTATAATTTTGCTACTGTTATGAATCAGGCGACCCCTGTGAAAAGGTCGTTCAACCCCCGAAAGGGGTCATGACCCACAGGTTGAGAACCGCTGCTCTAAGTAGACCAATGCAATCATTTGAACTGTTTAAAAAATCAACTAAGACATGCATTGTATTATTTTATGATATCTATTTAATAATTCAAGGAGTTGGACTATATGAAAAAATAAAGACAACCAACTTGGCATCAGAATTGGAAGGAAATTCATTATTAACCTGTGATATGAAGATGACACAAATTTGTTTCCTAGAATGAAAGAGGACCTGAGCCACTTGCTGATGAAGATCAAAGATTATATACACTTCAGCATAAAGAAAACACAAATCCTCACAAGTAGAGCAATAAGCCATCTCTTGATACACAGAGAAGATATTGGAGTTGTGTAAAGGGTTCCATTTAACTTGAAAGGTTCTGAAATCCTTTTACTTCCATGGGTTTAATTGCCCTGAAGAAGTTCAGTGTTGGTGATGAGTTTTTAATCTACCGTGGGATACCAGAGAACAAACAAATCTGCCTTGGAAAAGTATAGCCAGAATACTTCTTAGAAGGGACAACAGAGACTTTATCTTATGGGCATGTTGTGTGGAGGGATGTCTCTGGAAAAGGCTATCATGCTTGGTAAAGTACAGGAAGGCCAGTGAAAAAGAGGAAAACTCTCAATGAGATTGAGTGACACAATTGCTGCAACAATGGGCTCAACCATCGCAGTAATTTTGAGGCTGGCACAGGAGCAGACGGTGTTTTGTTTTACTAGCGTAACTATGAGCTGGGATCAACTCTACAGCACCTAACAGCAATCACCACCGCAAGGAAAGTATAAATCATACAATAGAGGTTCTAATGAGAGTTTGTCTGCAGTTTGGAGATGGAGGTATGACTTCCAGGAGGATGTGTACTTGCAGTTGAGCCTTGAAAATGGTCATGTGACTGCTATGGTGGATTGGGAGGCTAATCACTCAAGCAGCACAGGGTACATAGAGGATGGGTGCCAGTATATCACCTTTCAGGAACTTGTCGTAAGCTTCGGAATCAGAGTAGTTTTCTGCCCTGAACCATTATATTTCTTTTACAGCACTTGCTGTACATTATATGACAGTGACTTTATACTCAGATCATTCTCTTCATTCACTCTACCAACACATTTAAAAAATCAAATGATGAATTAATCACCTAAAAACTTTTTTTTGAGGGCATAGATTATATGTTAGTAACTGTAATAGTTTAGGTACTTTAGGAGAAACAAATCCACAGCAACTCATATATAAGAAAGTTTTATGTAAAGA